CACCAGGGGCCAGCGTCTGCACTTCGTCAGACGAGACTGGATGCACTTCAGGAGGCTGCACTTCGGCTGGAGCTGCCTGATCCCCAACTCCGGCGCCTGGCGCTTCTTCTTCTTCTTCTTCTTCTCCCTCCACGGCCACTAACTCAGCGTCAAAGGCTGGAGGAAAAATAGTGCGCCCCTCTGCATCACGCTCCCACTTCAGCGTGATCTGAGGTCGGAAGTCAGCACAGAGGCTCTCCCCATCTTCCTCCACTCCTTCCTCCTGTTCCCCAAAGGTGACCGTTGTCACGTCCACCTCTGGGTACTGGGCCTTCACCCTCTTTCTGCAGTCTGTGAAGGCCAGGATGGCGGTTGGCAGCCGGTACAGCTTGAGGATGTCCTCGAAGGCGCTGGAGTTGAGGAAGTTGCCAATATGTCCCTCCATTCCGTTGTGCACCAACAGCTCCACGTTGTTCTTCAGCTCCATTGCCCCTTTCTTCAGGCTCTCGATATATTTGTCTTGAGCCTCAAGCTTCTCTTCGCAAATTTTCCTTTTGCGTTCCTCAAGAGACAGTTTCGTGCTCAAGACGCTGTTTTCACTCCGGAGCTCGGTCACTGTTGGTGTCACCTCATCCAGTCTCCTCTGAATCTGCTGGTTCCTCTTCTGCAACTCCCCCTTTTCCTTCTGGAGATCCTCCTTCTCCTTTCGCAGGGCATCGCATTGCCCCTGCAAGCTGGCACGATCTCTAACGCTCTCCGTGTATTCTTGCGCTAGAGCGTTTGTCCAGCTCGCACTCTGCAATGCAATCAGAAGTCAGACATTAGATATAGGGGACCAAAAACTCAAACATGCAACCAAAGTACAATCTAGATTTCACATACCTCTAGGGCATGCCTCACCACGGTATACCCCGCATGGCTAAGCACCTCGTTCTTCGCTTGCATCCTATCCACGTCAGGAAGTGTAGCGTTGAGAAAGTGCTTCGCCCCAGTCATGTTTGTCGCCTCAAACAAACTTTTCTGGAACGCGCGGGGTGGGGTGCGCTCCCTGCCCCCACTAAGGCCTCGCACCTCAGCCTCTCCCCTTTCCTGGATCTCAGGAATGGTTTCTGGAGGAGAAGGTCGAGGCACGAACTCCAGCACCTCATCCACCCTGCCTTCTAGCTCTACCACCCTCCTCTTCTTCCTCTGGAGCGGTGCAGTCTCCTCGCTTACGTCCTCGCTGCCCCCCATCACAGGCTCCAGCCTTGGCTGCACCTCCACGGCCCGGGCTGAAGTGCTGGGCAGGGGCTCTCTCTCGGGCACCCCTCTGTTTGCCGCAACTGAAGTCGTTGACTTCTTCCTTGGCTTCTTGGGGATGCGCAGCCCCCCAGCAGCAGTGGTAAACTCCTCCATCTCAGCTGCAAAACAAACACAAAGATCAAAACGCATAAACTAAGAATTAACTAACATAGCAAAATATAAACACACACAGACCTTCGCTCAATGAACTTGGCCCATAGAGCTCAGCAGCCTCTATTGCCTGTGGACTGGTGAGGTATAGGATGTCCACCACGTCTCCGTCCTCCCTCACCAGCTTCTCCACCTCCTCCATCTCATCCTCATTTAATTTATAGTTGTTCTGCTTGGTTTTCTTTGCTCTCCAAGCAGACAACTGTTCCACTTCGGCATCCCTCCTACTCCACTCGGTGTCATCCACAAAGAAGAAATTTTCTTTCCACCCTTTGATGGATGACGGCCCAGGCGAGAATAAATTCCTATTCCCTTTGCTGGACGACCGAGGGCCGAAGTGGTACCACCCCTTCTCCCCCCTACCCCCAGCCTTAATTATAAAAAAATGTTTGAACATATTTACTGTTGGAAACCCAACCCCCCGAACTCTGCAGTATACAAGAAAACCTATTACTACCCTCATGGCATTGGGAGTTAGCTGGGTTATTCCTATACTATAATCTAATAATAACCCAACCAATAATTCTGGGATGGGAAACCTAAGCCCTGCAATCAAATAATGCAGGTACATAGGCATCCAATGATCTCGGGGTGCTGAGCACGCCCTCTCATTCACCCCGGCAGGTCTAAGTAGGACATGGGGAGGAAGATTGCAATTACCCACGAGACCCCTTAGGCTATCCCTACTACCCAACTCACTCACAAATCCCCTCACCTCGGCCACTACCTCTAAATCTGGGTCATAACACCCATCTACGCCACCCCCGGCCTCCAAAATATTTGAGGGGATTTCATCCTCCTCCTCTTCTATTCTTTGCTCCATTCTATTCCCCACCGTCCTCTCTGAGCTAGTTGAAGACGGACTGGTCTCTGAATCCATGCCACCATACTCCAGGGGCATTACCTCACTTCCTACTACACTCATAGCCTCGTCTGACGACATTTCAAATTCTGCATACAGGGGGAGGAGGAACGAAGTCAGGATCCTTAACAGTTCGAATACACTCAACACATTCCCACTCCCAACCCTAATTTCCCTCCAAAAAACCCAAAATCAACCACAGAAAGGGAGAAAGAAGAACAGCACTCCGACAAAACCAAAGTAAAAAATTCATAAACTTTACCTAATTTTGGTGCTGGAAACTGTTGTTGAAGCCTGGAGTGAAGCGCAAACCGCACGAAATCGCAGAAATTTAGTAGCAATTCAACAGGAAATTTGAGACAAAATAAACGAAAGTAAAAAAGTCCCCTTTACAGAAATGCAGCCTTTTATACCAAAGGTAAAAGACGCCCCAACGGTTGTGATTAACTCAATCTAACGGCTGCAGGGATACCGTTTCAAACGGCTGCAGGGATACCGTTTCAAATTCGACAGGTAACCATTAAACGACACCGTTCCAAACTTGACGGTTCGCTTTTCAAGCCCGCCCGTTGGATTGTTACGGTCATCTCTTTACAGCGGCATTAATTACGCACGTCATTCAGAGGACAGCTGTCGCGTCACGTGTCGCGTCTCAGTCAGACTTCGCAAACGGGCCCATTTAAGCCCATTTCAACACTCCTTTCCACTTTGTACATTTTAAATTTTAACAAGTACTTTACTTCGGCTACGGCCTCAGTGACCTAGTCACATATTTCACTTCGGCTACGGCCACAGTGACTTAGTCACATACTGCACTTCGGCTACGGCCACAGTGACTTAGTCACGTATTTTACTTCGGCTCCTGCCATAGTGACTCAGTGTCACTCATCTTACTTCGGCTCCGGCCACAGTGACTCAGTCACTCATTTTGCTTCGGCTCCGGCCAGTGACCCAGTGTCACTCATTTTACTTAGGCTACGGCCATAGTGACCCAGTGTCACCTGTTTCACTTCGGCTACGACCACAGTGACTTCGTCACACATTCTACTTCGGCTCCGGCCACAGTGACCCAGTGTCACTCATTTTACTTAGGCTACGGCCATAGTGACCCAGTGTCACCTGTTTCACTTCGGCAACGGCCACAGTGACTTCGTCACACATTCTACTTCGGCTCCGGCCACAGTGACCCAGTGTCACTCATTTTACTTAGGCTACGGCCATCGTGACCCAGTGTCACCTGTTCCACTTCGGCTACGGCCACAGTAACCTAGTGTCCCTATTACTTTTCTTAATTACTTTTCTTTC